ATTGCCAGGTCAGCCATGGCTACCGTGGGGGATATAGGGGGTAGGGTTGCCAGATCCAGGTTGGGAAACTCCTGGAGATCTGGAGATGGAGGCTGGGGAAGACAGGGACCTCAGTGGGGTACAGTGACAATTAGGGTTACCAGGTCCCCCCTGCAATTCCAGGGGATCCCCGGGTCCCACCTGGAGACTGGCACCCCTACATAGAGTCTGCCCTCCAAAGCATCCATTTCCTCCAAGAGAACTGATCTCTGTAGTCTGGAGATGAGCTATAATTCTGGAGGCTGGCATCCGTAGGTGATGCAGAAAGCTGGTGCCCGAGCCACAGATATCCTGCTTCAGGCAACTGACTGTAGCCTTTTGGGGGATGAACCATTGTGAGAGCCAGTGTAGTGCAGTGGTTAGAATGGTGGACTAAGATCTGGGATACCCAGGTTTGAATCCCCACTCTGCTCTAGAAGCTTGCCGGGTGACCGTGTACTAGTCATATACCCTTAGACAGACCTACCTCACAGGGTTGTTGTGAGGATAAGAAAGAGGAGAGGTTAAGAAAGGTGTGTGCTGTTTTGGAGGCAAGGTACACATAAATAAATGCTGTTTGCAGGCATGCCTTTCGTGTGCAGGTGGTCTCCTGTTCAGTACCTGTTAGTCCTGGCTTTTAAAAAATATTGATAAATTAATGCTGTTTGCATAATTTGATTACTTGCACGCTGCCTCAAGCAGCTCTCTGGATTTTCCTAAATGAATCTCATCTGGTGACCTTTCGTCGCTCGAGACCCTGGGGAGCTAATGACAGATTGGATCCACAAATAACTGGTGTTGTTTTTTATCATATTTTTTCCCCCTTTTCATCCTGGGTTTATTTTTGGCCATACAAGAAAATGCAGTAAATGTCTGGATTTTATGCCAGTCGGAGTAGAAAATAATGAGCTGGACAGACAATGATCAAACTCGATAAAAGCCAGTGCCAGATGTTCTGGCGCACCTGCCAATATTCTCCATTCTGTGCGGTTGATCAACTGATCAACATCTTCTGGTTGTCCCCGGCTCCAAGGATATCCAGCTGGCCTCGACTAGGGCCAGGGCTTTTTCTGCCCTGGGCCCTGCCTGGTGGAACAAGCTCCCTCTTGAGATCAGGGCCCTGCAGGATTTGTTACAATTCCACAGGGCATGCAAGCAGGGGTCGTTTCGTAGAAAAAGAGCTAGGAGAACTCATTAGCATAACTCATTAGCATATGCCACACCCCCTGACATCACCGGAAGTGTGTCATAAGGCCACACACTCCGCCCCCAACGGTCCCAGCCGCTGCCGCCGGCCTTGCAGCTCCACTGCTGAGCCCCATGAGGGGCCCGGTGGTGGACCTGCAAGGCCGGCGGGAGTGCAAGGAAGCCCCGCGAAGGCCCTCCCTGGCCCCAGGCAGGCAGGGGTGGGGAGAGGCAGGGAGGAAGCAACTTACCCTCCCTCTTCTCCTGCCTCCTCCTGGCTGAATGAGGGCCGGAAGCGGGGCGGCCGGAAGCAGGGGGCGGGGCTTCGTCATGTGCCCCGCCCTCCCGTACCTCACCCGGAGGAACTGCGATCCCCCCGATCCCCCCCGAAATGACCTCTGCCTGCAAGACAGAGCTGTTCCACCAGGCTTTCAGATGAGGCGGCAGACATCCAAAGCCAGTTTGGTGTAGTGGTTAGGAGCACAGACTCTAATCTGGGAGAACTGGGTTTGATTCCCCACTCCTCCACATGCAGCTGCTGATATGACCTTGGGTCAGTCATAAGTTCTTTCAGAGCTGTTCTCTCAAGGACAGTTCTCGAGAGAACTCTCTCAGCCCCACCTACCTCACAGGGTGCGTGTTGTGGGGAGGGGAAGGGGGAGGAGATTGTAAACCACTCTGAGACTCCTTCAGGTAGTGAAAGGCAAGGTATAAATCCAATCTCCTCTTCTTCTAAATAACAAATAAATAAATAATGTTTACTCAGAAGTCATCTCCACAGACTCAACGGGACTTGTGTATGGTGGTGGGAAGTGCTCTCAAGACACAGCCGATTTATGGCAATCCCCATGGGGTTTTCAAGGCAAGAGACATTCAGAGGTGACTTGCCATTGCCTGCCTCTGGTTTGTGACCTTCCATGGTGGTCTCTCACCCAAATACAAACCAGGGCTGACCCTGCTTAGCTTCCAACATCTGCTCAGATCAGGCTACCCTGGGCTATCCAGGTCAGGGATAGGGCTTACTCCCAAGTAAACCACCTTAAATCCTTATTGGGAAAAAAGATGGGATAATTAAAAAAAACACCCACAAATAAATAATTAGGTTGAACATATTTATTTGGAAGTAAGTCCTACTGAAATTGACGGCACTTTCTTCAGAGTAAAGCGTATTAGGACCTGCCTACAAAGATGTGAAGAATCCTCTCAGATGTTCAGATCTGGCAATCTTATCTGTCTGGAGAGGGAGGGGAAAGTAGAAGAAAGAAGGCTAATTGCTTTTGCAAAGATCAGTGAACCGCAAACTGCACAGAGCTGAATTAATGTCATTTAGTGTTAGGACCAGCGTCAATTTGGCATTTGATGGGAAAAGCTACAGATGATATTACCTCCTCTAGGCAATATTTAAAGGTATAGGAGTACTCTAATAGCCTAGCTTGACATTACACGCAGGGTACGGATAATGATATTATACACATTATACGAATAACCTTGTTGGCCCTGGTTATTATTTGGAAAGGAGAACACTGTGCTGAGGCAAACCACCTCTGAACATCTCTTGCCCTAAACACCATAAGGGGTGACTATACATTGGCTGTGACTTGACGGCACTTTCCATTACCCCACGTAACCTGTGATGGCTTTTTACCCCCTGAAAAAGCACCTTTGGGAGGGGGACAATTAAAAGTGATGGGTTATGTATGTGTGATTTCTTTCTCTACCCATTATTATAGGTTGTACACTGCCCCCTGCCTGTGTTCCCTCTGCCCCCTCCCCCCGGGTGGGATTGTTGGTCTACAGTCTGAAAGACCCAGGTTCAAATCCCCAGTCTGCCAGGAAAGCTTGCCAGGTGACTTTGAGCCAGTCACTCTGAGCCAAACTTACCACACAGGGCTCTTGTGAAGTAAGGTGCTTTGGGGTCGCCATTGGAGAGAAATGTGTGGTATAAATTAGATAAATAGGAGGAGGAGGAGGAGGAAGAGGAGGAGAAAGAGGAGGAGGAGGAGGTTGGATTTATACCCCGCCCTTTACTTGGAGTCTCAGAGCAGTTTACAAACTCCTTTCCCTTCTCCTCCCCACAACAGACACCCTGTGAGGTAGGTGGGACTGAGAGAGCACTTTCGGGGACTGCTCTTGAGAGAACAGCTCCCAGGAGAACTTGTGGCTGACCCAAGGAATGAGGAAAACTCGCCCAAGGTCATCCAGCAGCTGCAAGTGGAGGAGTAGGGAATCAAACCCAGTTCTCCCAGATTAGAGTCCACGCACTTAACCACTACACCAGATAAATGCTCTGACCATGCCCAGGCTGCTTATTCAAGTGCCTTGGACAATTTTTGTTGCCCTGTACAAAAACCTGCAACTTTTCTGTACCATACTTGAAGTGACAGGAGCCCCATATTCCTCAACACAGGTCGTGCGGGAATGCTGGTTTTATTGGCCCTGGGAAGTGGACTTTCCGTTTTCAGTGCAGTATGGCTTTCCACAGCTGCATCTATTAATGACCACAAAACCATTAATTACCAGCAGTGAACCTACACTAGTAATAATTAGTGTCAGGGACTCCAGCATGGTAATTTCCATCTTTGAGAAAAAATTGAGTGGAGAGTGTTGGTTTTTTTTTTTAAATGACCAAAATAAAAATTGCCGGTGGTAAGCAATTGTGTAGAAGAGCTGTACATGATAATGTGAAGCTGCTTCCTTCAGTTTTACATCGCCTAGTAAGTCTGGACTGGTCCCATCTTTTCGATGGGTTTTTAATTTACGGATGGAATAAAGACAGGTGGCAATAGAACATGAAGGAAATGAGGGGCTTATGTTGTTGGAGGAACAGGGGGCTTCCTGGAGGGGGACTGTGATTACACTGAAGATGAATAAATGGTATCTTTTCTGTCAAAGTAAATCATACAGAAAGCCAGTGGGGCTTCACTCATAGCAAGAGGTATTTAGGAGTGCAATAATAGATTATATAACCTGAAATCCAGGCCTTGGACCGTAAACCTCGCTTCTCTTTGTGCTGCGCTACGGGAGTGGTGGAGCACATTCATCCAGCACATGTCACTTCTGCTGATGCAAGACTTCTGGCAAATCTTGCAGCCTCCATTTATGGCCAGTCCATCCATGGAATACTGGGTTACATCTTCATGACTGATATGCTGTCCCTCAGCTATCAGGTGCCCGGGATGTTGAACTATCTAAAATCTAACCATATAAAAATATTTCCATGGTAATGAAACAATTTAAAAACAAAAGAACAAAAACAGTCAGCAGCCAAAAGGTCAGTGGAACAGGCATAAAACAAAAACCAGTAACAGAATTTTTTTTGGGGGGAGGGGGGATTGAAATGCATGCAACACTTACTTTCCTATAAAATCTAAGCTAGTATTTCTGCGTAACACCATAAAACACGTTGTTTGTAATTTAGTTAACATACGAAGTTACACTATTTAGCATATTTATGGGATTTAATGTTATTCCCCTCACCTCAATATTTCTGGGATTGGGCGGCGGGGGGGTGGAGGCCTTCACATCTCCAGTCTCGTCTTTGCTGTGAGAACAACAGTCTCTTCTTATGAAAGTTATTTTGAAGTCACGTTAAGGAAAAATGCTGCAGAGAAGTAATAATGACAAACTTAAGGTGATTTGTCTCCGTGTTAGCCAACTTCATGCCCAATCATTTGACAGCAAAAGGACCAACTGAGCGCACTGCTACAATGGGAAAGGTTTCCTTTCTGAATCTTCTCCTGACCGTGATGAGGATTTGCTTGACAAGCAGCCACGCTCCCGACCCAAGGGCTGACGGAATGACACGGTTTGCTGTGGATCTCTACCGAGTTCTTTGCTTATCCCAGAGAAGTGAGAACATTCTCTACTCCCCACTCGGAGCTGCATCCACTCTGGGAATGGTACATCTGGGGGCCAAGGGGAAAGCGCAAAATGAGATAAGTCGGCTTTTGGACCTGAAAAACGATGCCCGTAAGTACCTGTGGTCTACACTTTCTAAGCCTGGCATACCTCCAATAACTGTTATTTGCCTCCTCCCTGTTTTTTTTAAATGTGTTTATATGTTTTTATTGAATTATTTTATACATGGTTTTAAACGCTGTTTTGAGGTTCAAATGTTTATTGTACTTAGGGTCACTGCCCTGGGGGTCCTAGGGTTGCCAGGTGGTCCCCCTTGTCCACTAGCGGGGGGTGGGAAAGTAGGATTGCCAGCTCCAGGTTGGGAAACAGAGATTTGGGGTACAATTGCACAGAGTCTACCCTCCAAAGCATCCATTTTCACTGATCTCTGCAGTCTGGAGATCAGTTGTAATTCCAGGGGATCCCCAGGTTCCACCTGGAGGCTGGCATCCCTCTATCATCAAGGGGAAACGTGGCAATAAAATGTTTTAAATCAATCAAACAAGCAAACAAAGTAATAATAGTTACCTAGCCCAGAGGTCTCCAACCTTGTTGCACTTGGAAGCACATTTGGAATTGTGAGAAGAGGGAGTCGGTGCCATCACAAAATGCTGCCATGGGAAAGTGGTTGGGACCAATAGCAAAACACTACTGGTCCTTTCTGCACTTGGATCTCATATGTGGTTTTATCAGAGTTCAACTCGCGACACAATACCTTGCATTTATCCCTGGTTATAACAACATCCGTCGATCCCGGGACAAGTGTGGGGCAAAACTGGGGTGACCTCAATGTAATGTGGAAACAAAAAATACCCTGAGATAATTACAGGGGTGAACTTGAGTGTAGTGTAGAGTGTAATTTCGGGGACAGGGCTAAACCAGGATTTAAGGTCTAGTGCAGAAAGGACCACTGTGAGATTCCAAGCCAAGCACATTCCCAGGATGAAGCTGCGATAAAAAAATAACATCCTCTGGGCTGTTCTGAAGAACCTCCTACTCCAGTGAAGTAGGGAAAAAGCCAAGATTGGTTCTTTGCTTTGGGGGAGAAGCAAGTGGGAGCCAGGAAACACATTGGTTGACACTGATGGTAGCATATTGGGGAAAGACTGATCTAGCCAGTTATTTGGGTGAGCAATTACAAAAGCTGTATAATACAGGCTGTGAGCAACCGTAACTGTACAGTATGGTTTAGAACTTTCTGAAACACTATCATTCTGAACTCTTGTTACTTTGGGATTTACTTATTCCACATCCCGTGTGTTTTGTGAAAGTCTGCTCAGCTACTGCTGAATGCAGATTTTTAAAGGAAGTTGGTTTTGATATTTTTTTCTTGCTGTGAATGCCTTGCAGTGCAAAGAAGACAAAGCTGTTAGCGCTTGTCTGTTGGCAACATGATATTTTGATTTTTGTATCTTGTGCGCCAGTGTGTATATGTGTGCGTGTGTATATATAAAGGCTGCCTTTTACACAGCTAAAAGAGAAGGCTATTGAAGGCTGCTTTTCAACCGCAGTTGACATAATTATGCACCGTTCCAATGCAATCTGGGCAAAATGCAATCTACTGCTCAAAGTGAATGTACAAGGAACATATCTGACAGCGTGCCATGTGTTTTTTGTGCTTATATAATACAGGCACAAACACAGAGACACACACAGAGAGCTATTTTTTTAATCCCTTGTCTTGAAACGAGAGCGAGAAAGATGAGAGTTTTCTCGCAGCACATTTTTCAGACCCTTCACAAATGATGTACATCCATCCGTTCGAGCAGATGATTGCCTGCCATTATGGTTCAATTTTCCTTTTAGAGGGAAGACGTTCTCTTTCCTAATGCATTTTCCAAATTCCATCAAATGCCTTGCTGTCGGTCACGTGCAAGATGAAAGTTCTTTGGAACATCTGTCGGGTACATGCATTTGCCGCATTCGGTGGACATTCACAGTCTTATGCCTTAATTGATTCCCTAGCACTGTGCTGGAAAAATGTAGCACCCAATGATATAAGAAAGCAATAAGATGAGCTTGGGGCATGAGAGAAAAAGAGGTCAGTCTCAAAGACATCCGTTTGTTACCCTGGGGGCAACTATTTCTAATAAGGTCATATTTTGAATGCCACAGAGGTTGCTTGGCCAGCATCAATGGTGCCACCTGTCGACTGGTTTCCTGCACAAGGCAGCTACAACCAAGGTGCTCTTTGTGTCTCTCCTTCTGGAACAAGCCAATGATTAAGCAGATCCCTCCACTTCTTAGATACCTCAGCTGTTGATTCCCCAATGCCTGTGCCTTGATTCACATTCAAAGAAGCAGGTAGCTGCCAATTGAATATTTCTGGGTCCTCGGGTAACGGCTTCTAGTTCAATCTAGTGCATTCCCCCAGTCTCCACTTCTGACACCATAAATTTTTTCTGTGTTCACAGGAATGGCTTACAAACATGTTGATATGAACAGCAGCTAATGTGTCTTGCGCAACAGTCTCTAAGCCTTTCCCCCTAAAACAAACAGTCATGTGATCTTAGGGCATATTCACAAATCACCCATTTCTTAATACTGTAAAATAGAAGTAAAGGTTTCTAAATTGCAGATTCTGTCACTACAGTCAAAGCTTCAATTGATGCTATTAACAGGGACTTCTCTTCTATGACTGAGTACCATGCGCTGTAGGTAGCCTCTGCCAGAGAGCTCCCTCCCTCTCCCACTAAACTTTCCATCTGTGCTAGATTGATGGTTTCCAGTGGGCTCTCATGCAAACAAAAGTGTTAGTGGGAAAGGAAGTGTTCTGAACACCAGAGATACTGCATGCAGAACTCTTTCAAAGGATCCAAGCCAGTATGTATGTGTGCTTTAAAGAGCGTTTGTCTGAAAGTGCTGCCACACTAGACCTTTTCTCCATCACTGAACTATAGAATTCAGGAAATTATTGCCAATGCTCCCTCTAAGCTGTGGAGTCATGTGAGCAAAAAATCTACTTTGTGAGCTACTGGCATTAAAGTTGTGAGTGAGCAATTTGGCTACTGCATAAATTAGTTTGCTCTGGGGCCATTTTTCCTGAGAGAAGACAAAAATGCTCTTTGTGGGGCTACCTTTGAAAATGGTCCAGAAACTTCAGCTTGTCTCCAAGGCAGTAGCTCAGTGCTGAAAGATTTGTTACTGGGCACAATTCAAAGTGCCCATTCTTACCTTTAAGTTGGGTTGCCCACCTCTAGGCGGTAGACAAAACAAGAGGGAAACACAGGTTGCCAATTATCAAAAACAACTGAACACTGCGAATGCAATTAACAAGTCTTATATATCCATGCCTTTAAATAATATGAACTTAGGCAATGCCCCTGCAGTCAAGGTGCTATTGAATCCATTTCCCATGTTCTTTTAAATTGTCTATTTTATACCAAGATTTGAGGAAAATTTCCGCACACCCTTCTTTTTACATGGCGTGGTCTTCCTGAGAATATGAAGGTCCAGTTGCTACTCTCTGGGCAAAATGCTTCTATAACTTTTACTGTTGCTTGTTTTCTTCAATCTGTAATTCGAACCTGGGAAACTATTAATTGATCAGTTCTTTTTTTGTTGGCTGTTCGACAGCCGTACCTTTGATGTATTCCTAAATTTTAATATTATCTTATCTCTTACATGCCAATAAAGGTTGTCTGTCTGCCTTTAAATAAATATTTTGACATACCAAACGAGTGTATAGTCTTAATATATATTCGAAAAAGATGATGGAAACATGTTTATATGCCTAGGATACATGTCGCTGCATAACTTCCAGTTGTTGATCTGTTATATAAATTTGTCATATTGAGAACTTACAAACGAGTAGTGTTACATTGTAACCTTGATTTCTAGCTCATGATTGTTGCATTTTGAGAGTTTGGGAACTTTATGTGTTACATTGTAACTCAGGCTTGGAGCTTCTGACTTTGTATTAAATAACTGAATATATATTAAGACTTTGTGTTGAATCTATATTAAGACTATACACTCGTTTGGTATTTCAAAATATTTATTTAAAGGCATTGATATAAGACTTGTTAATTGCATTTGCCGTGTTCATTTGTTTCTGAAAACCTTTAGGTGGTGGCTGGAAATCTCCTGGGATTCCAACTGATTTCCAGGCAACAGAGAACCACTTACCTGGAGAAAATGGCAACTCTGGAAGGTGGACTCTATGGCATTATACCTCATTGAAGTTCCTCCTCTCCCCAAACCCCGCCTTCCTCAGGCTCCGCCCCCAGAGCGGGCAACCCTACATTTATTGCCCTAAACAGCTTGGGGCCAGAGTGGCCGAAAGGCCATGTCTTCCCATGCAATCCATCCCACCGATTAAGATCTGCCTCTCAAGCTCTGATCTCTGTGCCCTTGCCTTCAGAGGTGAGGCAGGCAGTGACTAAAACCAGGGGCTTTTCCAGAGGCACCTTTGTCTGGAACGCCCTCCCCCGTGATGCTTTCCTGGCACCTACTTCACTTTGGTTTAGCTGCCAAGCCAACATACATCTTTTCACCCAGTCTTTCAATCAGGAGTTTAATCTTACCAGCTTTTCGATGGTCTCCTTCTGCTTTACACTTAGCGTTATGCTATTTATGCCCAATAGCTTGTTTTTAATAGCTTGTTTTTAATATTTTAATTGCGAGCCACGCCAAGCAGGACTCTGAAGAGGTGGCATAAACTGAATAAATAAATATATGCTGCAAAATTAGATTGTATAGTGAGAAACTAGAAAATCATGTTACCTCCAGGCAACACCGACAAGGCACAACGAGGTGATTGCCTAGGGCATCAGAGATGGAGAGGCACCAACCAGCTAGGGTTGCCAGTCCACAGGTGGTGGCTGGAGATCCCCTGGGATTATTCCCAGAGATCAGGACACAGAGATCGGTTCGCCTGGAGAAAATGGCCACTTTGGAAGGTGGACTCTGTAGGGTTGCCAAGTACTTACTTCAATCCAGCGGGGGGCACATGCTCCCCGGCCGGAACATTTCTCCTTGTAATGCACCATGTCGTCGCCAGGAAGTGATGCTGGGCGACGCTCTGGCAATGGGGCTGAAAACTCAATGGTACCATCGAGTTTCTGGCCCCA